AGCATTGTAATATTTTTTTCTGCAAAGTTTGAAAATATAATTTTTTCACAATTTAGGAAAAAGCTAAAATTTTGTTAAAAATTTGAAGATGGCAAAGAAAAAAGAGCTTAGTAATGATCTCGGAAGCAAAATTATAAATTCATACAAAGAAGAGATGAGATATAAAGCAATATCAAATAATTTTTATGTTCCTACGCCTACAATACAGTGCATTATAAAAAAATTCAAATCATTTGTCACGGTGGACAACCTGGTTGGTCGAGGAAGGAAAGGAAAAAGCTCCACTACATGTGCTAGAAACATAATACGCTCCATTTGCAACAATAATAGGATCGATAGTATGGGAATTCTATCAAATTTGGATGCTTTTGATATGAAGGTATCAAGACAATCATTACAAAGAACAATGCGTCGTAACGGACTGAAGGGTTGTCGACCCAGGAAAACCCCTTTGCTAACAGAAAAGCATGTGAAAGCACGCCAGAAGTTTTCTAAAACTCCTGTCGATTACCAAACCCCATTTTTCTCCAAGATTTTGTGGAGAGATGAGACTAAAATTGAATTATTCGGGCATATGAATGTTGCTTACGCTTGGCGAAAAAAAGGTGAGAATCATAATCCAAAGAAAGCAATCCCCACAGCTAAACATGGCGGTGGGAATCTTATCTTTTGGGGTTCATTTTCTGCCAGGGGACCTGGAAGTCTGATCAATGTAATTGGAATCATGTAAAAAGAACAATATTTTGATATTATTAAAAATAACATGAAGCAGGATGCAGAAAGTTTTTTTTCTTTGTCCTGATTGGATTCTTCAGCAGGATAATAATTCGAAGCACACATAGAACAGTCAAGAAGTGCTTCGAGGATTCTCACATCAATGGCATGGAATGACCTAGTCAAATTCCCCATTTCAATCCAATTGAGAATTTGCGGCGCGTACTGACAATAGAGATGAAAAAGAGACAACCTAAAAATATGAAAGAATTGGAACAATATGCCTTGGAAGAATGGACAAAACTTAGCGTCGATACATGCAGAAACCTTGTTGACCATTACCCAAAGCGTTTATAACAAGTTATCACGAGTAAAAAGGCCATGATATTAACTATTGATTCAGGGTACGAATAAATTTGGTCATGAGTCAGTTTGATGTTTCCTTTAAATCTCTTCACAAAACTGAAAAAATAATGTTTTTTGGGTTCTAAATACATGTCATATGGTTCATAAATGGTTTATATCTGCTTTAAAGTTTTAGATAATTATTTTTTGGTCTATTTCTCATAATTTGTAGAAATGACGTTAGGGTATGAATAATTTCGGGCACAAGTGTAAGTAAAGCCCACGGAGTTTTGCGTGCTTTATAAAATGTATTCCCTTTCCCTCAATTAAAAACGCTTTTCTAAACATTGTCCTTATCAAAGTTATCAAGTACTTTGGTAACCTGGGGTGGTGTACCTTACAATACAAAAAACGGTGTAGCGGGAGAGCTACGCTCCCTACATCAAAATTACTGGGTCTCTGCAAGCGGGCCCTAACGTACGAGGATTAATCAAGCAAACTTTCAGAGGCTATAAGGTATATTACCATTTCATGGAGAACCCGCAGCCACGACATAAGACTATAAACTAAATGCGTATAGATTTACGATTACAGACATTATATAATGAAATTTATAATCATTACCAAATGTGGTAGGTCAGGTAAAAGTAGGCTGCCTAATCGCAATGAGCTGCTTCCCGAGAAATCTCCCACGCCTACTTTTTCTCTTCAGTCTCTTTCAGAGAGGTGCGGCGGATTGAGAAAACTAATAGCGCGGTCAAGGCTGGCCCGGTATAACGGGTCATCACATTACTTAATAAATCGTTGCGTTCTGTGCTTAGGGTTAGGTATGAATGATGAAAATAATATGCCTTTGATATGCTCTAACGAATTATATAGGCGGTCGAAAATTTTAAAACTTGACAATATGTTCCGATTTCAACAATAAAAATTCATGAACAGAGCATTTTAACATGATTATCGTCTTTTTAAATATGCTTTCGCCCTCTTATTCCCTAACATTCTCACAACACCAGGGACATTCGATTTAACTTCCCAGCAGATATTCGGTGGTTGAATCGACATTTCAACAACTACCTTCGGCTTCGGAAAGAAGAAGGCTTCATTTAAATGCGATAGCCTATACATTTATCTTTTGCATAATTTGGCAACTTAGTCTTAATGCATTTCTTACTGCGAAAGGAACTGCTACACACCACTCTTGGAAGCGTACAATGCAGAGGTAATCCTCATAAATTCAAAATTGAACATTAAATGGTTCTAAATTGCAAAAAATTGCATTGTCATTTTGAGTACGGCTCAAAGGTTGAACTATAAAAATTTGCTGGAGTACATGTTGGGACTTAACTACACGCAGCGGTACAAGTGCACGAAGCGGCCGATTTCTCGACTGTAAAGGAAAATGGAGCGGGGAATTTGCAATTGATTATAATCCTTGACACGAGCGCCGTGTTCTCGATTTCAGTCCGTAATTTCCTCGTACGCTCTCATAACCTACGCATTTTGAGACAGGCATTTTAGTTGATGCAGATCGTATGAGCATTTGCAGGAGCTGCCATGAGGATTACAAGAAAATGTTAGGCCATGAAATTAACTACAAAAGGTTTGACAAGGTTGGGTTGGGGACAAGGTTGGTAAAATTGCCGGACTGGGGTTGTGGCTCTCCACGGCGTGGACAAAGCAATCCCGAAGTCTGTATTTTATGCTCTGCAATCAAACAAATTAATTGTGATGATGAAGTACGAGCAAAAAAAAAAAAACATTACCATGCCGGATATGATGAAAGATTATAGGTAACTTATCGGATTACAAGTAGAAAAATGAAATGTTAAGTCACGTCGTTGTGGGACTTGTACTTACGGAACGTTTCTTGCCAGTGATTATAATTTTATAGTCAATTTTTTTCGTTTCAACGAGGAAGGCTTCGAACGTTTGGTTTATTTTTGAGTCGCCGATGAACTCTATTAAAACAGATACGTTAATTCTCCAGAATCACAGTGTTTCTTTAATTCGAACTTATTTATACTGAGCTGTACCTCTTAAACTTCCCCCCCCCCAACAGGGTTCGAAACTCTGAGTTTGAAAAATAAATGTTTCTTTTCTGGAAAATCCAAAAGAAAAGAATTTAAAAACCTTAGTGTTTAATCTATTATCTGACCATGACTTTTCACATAGGAATCTCGTCAAATAGATTTCACCATAAAACCAGTCTCTGAGTGTCCTTTTGAACAATGAAAATTTGAAATAATGTGGCTTCCAAGTCTACTTTAGTGGAGTGTCACATTATAGAATAGAATAGAAGTGTCGGCACTGAAGAAATAGGCCCATGGCCTGGTGCCGATTCTTGAATTTTTCGAGACTTGATTCACAAGGGATCCGGCCGTTGGAACCCGATCTTTCCATAACTGACGGTTGATTGAGATAGCTGCTGGACTTATTGCCTGGTCCGTAATTTGCTAGGCATTTTAAGACTGAACATATGCTCCTGCATAGCTTCGTCTGGACTTATTGCCTGGTCCGTAATTTGCTAGGCATTTTAAGACTGAACATATGCTCCTGCATAGCTTCGTCTAGTCTGTTCTTGAAGGCGTTCATACTCGGAGCGTCAACGATGCTATCAGGAAGGCTGTTCCACATGTCGGTGACTCGAAGCGAGAAGAAATGTTGTCGCATGGATGTGTTCCAACGCTGTTTTTTTAGTTTATAGCCGTGGCCCCTGGCGTTGGTTCTTGTTTCAAATTCTAGTAATCCTTCTGATACCTTGTATAAGGCATGAGTATACTTATATGCTTCAATGAGTTCCCCACGCAGACGTCGATAACTGAGGCTTGGAAGCTTCATAATCTTTAATCGTTCCTCATAGGACTTGCCTTTCAGGCCCGGAATTATCCTTGTTGCGCGTCTTTGAACATTCTCTATTAAATTTTGGTCCTTTTTAAGTTTCGGTGGCCACACGACGTTTCCAAACTCTAGATTCGGGCGTACGACAGCAACTAACAACTGCTTCTTCGCTTCTGTATCTAGGAACTCAAAAGAGCGTCTGATCAGTCCAAGTCGTTTATTGGCTTTATTAACTTGACCTTCAATATGTTTCGAAAATTTCAACTCATTGTCGATATTAACTCCTAAATCTTTTTCCATTTTCGACTTCGACATCATCACTCTGTCTTTACAACCGTGTCTTCTCATACTGTAATATTGCTGTTCATTATTCCTACCGAGGTGGATTACTTTACATTGGTCAGCGTTAAAATGCAGCTGAAAGAGAAAGTTTATATTATATATCATTATAGAAAGTTTAACTTGATAATTTAGTTTATACTTGCACTAAAATGACAGCTGTTCTAGAATGAACTAATTAAACATGGGATTATATGCTATTTACGATGTCGATTGAAACATGTGTGATTCCATTTGGCGTTTCCTGTAACTTTCATGTTTTAATTTCATGTAACTAAGCTTGCCATATGTTTCAAAGGATCATCAGAGGTTAGTTCAGGTCGATCAATATATTTTGATGTTTAAATTAAGTTGGTGTAATTGTTTGCTTCATTTACCTAGAGAAGGGAAATAAGACAAGGAAGTTGTGATGGATGGCGCCTGTTAGGTGTGTGGGGCTCTCGTTTTTCGTCCTAATTTCCTCGTATGCTCACATAACTTGCGCATTGCGGAACAGGTATTTGCCATTGATGGAGATCATTTGAGAGTTCGAGGCTACAGCCATGAGGATTGCAAGGGAAATTTCAGCAGCTCTAAGTGCATTGATACTCGTGTCAGTGATTGTGGTGATTTACATCTCATATGCCGCGCAAATTGATCACAATAGAAACTTTTACTTTTCGGGCACAAAGCCTGCTTTGGAGAGGCGAAAGCTCTGGGGGAATAGCTCAAATTGCAAATCTATGTTCTCTTTATTGGATGGAGATGACAATTCACAGTCAGGATGCAGTGAGTATTGCGGAGTAGGAACTATCCTGAGCTGGAGAGGTCCAAGAATTATCCTATATTATACATTCTGCATTTTTCATGAAGCCTACTTAAATGCCAAGGTTCTCTTTACATGCTGCTTGAACGCCATGCGTTCTCTATGCATTCTCCTTATCGTCCTACATTCACCATGCATTCTGCTGTCAGCTTTCTGTTGTCAGCTTCATTCTGAGAATAAAATAAATTGTAGAGTAAATGAGTATTTTCAAATATTTTTATCCAATGTTGCAAAGTATTAATTCGGATATAAGAAGAATGATTGATTTGGTAGTACATATGCTACACTGATAGCTCGTCACAGTGCGGAGCTGTTAAATAAAATTGTTAACGATTTTAATATACAGTATATGGTATATCATGCAAATAGAAATAAATACTGATTTCCGCTAAAGCACTTTTTAAATGAACCGACATTTTGATTAAAGTTTCCTCTTGGCTTCCTCTATGAAATTTAATATTGAAATAGTATTTTGGAACTTATTAGCAGCAATTCGAATATAATTAAATTTAAAAATTGCACTAAATTGCAATCAATGCATTATTATTGGGATCATGCTTTGATGCAGTGCACTTCAAATATCAGAGCCGTTTGAGAAGAGGAAGCTCTGCGTCATATGTGCATTTGAAAAAAATTTCACGGTACTTATTATGTTAATTACTTTTACTTACCGTAATGTATTCAACAATTCAAAGCTTTGCGGGCTTCTACGAGATTACTGATAAAGAAATCCTCGAGTCTGACATCTACAAGAAACTTCTAAGCTGGGCCCTGGGCGAGGAGCCTCCACCTGACCTCATCATAATAGGTGAGGAAATCTAATAATTATATTTGAGTAAAATATAATTGTATAATATAAATACCGTTATATAACTCGATGTAATACTGTTATAGTTATAATTATACTTTACGAATAATAATATCTGGGATACAATTAAATTTTTTAATAAGTCTATACGATATCATGCATGAAATTCACGCCTACTATGAAGGAAACGCATTTTTTTTCTACAGGATATGGTACGTGGATGATGCTGCTGGAGTTCCTTCGAAATGATTTTAGGCCGCCCTTGACTCTCTTGCATAACCAATGGGACATCCACGCCGCCGTTCTACGCATGTTGTTGAACTTGAAGGATACTACACGAGTCTTATTCCTCTCTCAAAATATGCAAAAGCCCCATGCCTATAAGGAAAAAGAGCCCGCTCCTTTTGAAAAACGATCTCGAATGCCGTGGATCCATTTCTCTAATCTCGGATGGCTGAATCTTAGAGAAAAACTCACCACATTTCATGCGCCTTACGCTGGAGGAAATAAATCTGATTTCTGGAGAGCAGTTTTTGCAAGACGTAGCAATGCATTTTCATTTCTACCGAAGTCCATTTCATTTCGAGATCGTTTCAGAATTCTTATGGATGAACTGCCAAGTGTTAGTAAGGAGTCCCACAGGAGTCAACATGAATCTTCATCTGATCTTGAAGGACATTCGGGGATTTGGTTCTGGGATTCGACACAACCTGTGGCGTTTGCTTCGTTACGAGATTGCGATACGCTTTTCCATCACGATCCAATGTCGTCATACATAATCCCGTATGCCTACAATATAGACCCCAAGACTACCCACCCTTACACGTATGGCCTGCTCAGTAAGTTGGACTTTCCACCGGAAAAACTTTTCCAGCTCCGCAATCGTCGATCTGAAGAGGTTCATTCACCAACAGCCAACGTAACAAAAGAAATAAGACCTAACGACGAACCGTACACGAATACTTTTTTCCGTAAAATGAAAACACTTCCAAAAAATGTATTTGTAAAGCATTCAGAGTCTTCATTTGAGCCAGGAAATTTGTATTTAGACCAACTTGACGATTATTATGACAAGTTTGCTACAGCTTACGCCTTCCAAGACTTGTACTGCCGAAATCCAATGCATGCTGGCTACCTAGTCAAGCAAGTGGAAGCGTTGCAGATCCTCAATATGATATGCAACCAATTCATGGATATTGATAGTAGCTTTTGTTGTCGTAATTAACAAAGATGAAAATCACTAATAATTATAATCCATCCAGAACCCGCTGTGGTATTTAAAGAACCTGATGTGGTTTGAAGGATGGATGTTACTTTGTGACGTCCGTGAACTGAAATCTCAACAAATTTCTGCTTGTAATTGTACCTGATTTACGTTTATGTTATTACGTTAAGTTTAGGAATCGGGCTCGCCAAGCTCCTGCGTTTCCAAGTAAGTCGCTTTGCTATACGCCGCCATGTTTGTCGCACACTCGAGCCTTAGCTTACTCTTTCGTTCCTACACGTTTGGTGGCAATGGAGAAAGAAAGAGCAAAGCAGAAAGGATTAAGCTATTGTCGAAAATTTCTTCTTCAGCGAGAGACCGGTATTTAATAAAATCGTTCGACATTAACGATGTTGATCCCTACAAAGTGCCGGCTAAGCAATGGTGTGCAGATTTTACGAGCCTGTCTCCCGTTTCACACGGTGATTTACCGAACTATTTAGTGTTTGGTGTCACCAATACATCTTGCAAGAATTCAAGACATACAAGACGCTTGAAGCTTTCAAGCAATTTGTGGATGGATGGGTGCAAGAGATATACATACACTAACAAACCGGCCAACTGCAACAACACTGTCATTGTTGCCAAAATGAGGATAATGGATCATGGCAATGCAATCTGTTCTGTAAATATTACACGAAAGAAAAAAAGAAGCACTGTGGTTATAATTGATATGTGGTATTAATTGATATTATAATTGATATAAATATATAATTGATATATATTTATAATTGATATGTCATTAAATAATGATAGTGGATATCAGAGAGAAAATATCTTGAGCAGACGAATACTTTATGCTTGGTTTCAACTGTTATGGTCCCACGACGAATCGCCGCCACCCATGCTGGTCGACGTCTTGTTGTAACGTCGAGAATTTCGCTGCCTTGGCTTTCCTTCACGGCTGTTAAACTGAAGAAATGCATTCCATTGTCCAGTTTTCTGTTAAAATATTCGTGAGAACGACTGGTGCATTCAACAACGACGCAGAAGCGTCCCATCTTCAAGCAAAAAAATTAAAAAAGAAACAAGCAAAGTTGATAGAAAACGTAGGCGAAAGCAAGACCATGCAACGAATATGGTGGCCGATCCCACAATGCATTTTGCGATTCGGTGCCGAGACGTCATCCTTTCGAAGCCGATTCCCGGTCCAAAGCCACGCTAATGCGCTGCTTTTGTTGTCCTCCGTCCCCAAGCATTCGTGAGACAGGTTGTCCCACCATCGGAGAACGAAGGTAACGTTGTAGCCGCGCCTCATGCGTCTCTAATTTTTGTACCGCGATTTTTCTTATAATTTTTTGCGATCATTCAACAGTTATTTCTTATATTTGTCCTGTTAAATTTGTACTCATATTTCCATTAATGTTTTTTTTTGTCTTTCGATCTTTACTAGCATTTTCATTTAGAGAAAAAGTCTGTTCACCTTGATCATCCGAAGCGCGTCACTTTCATTCTGTTAGTCGTGAAGCACTTTGCGGTCCACTGTTGGTGATTTTTTTTATGAACAGTAGTTATATTGTGACGTGTAAATTTGTGCGTTATATTTGTGAATATTGTGAGATCTAAATTTGTGCTGTGATATTTGTGAATTGTAATTATATTGTTTGGAATAATTAAAGTTAAGTATTATAGCCGTATCTTGTTAAGTTTATTTATTATTGCTGTTTGCAGAATCGTATTAGTCCACCACAAACAATACATTCAGTATACGAGCCATCCGCTGAGTTCACTTTAGGTTTATCTTGTGTTTATTTTGAGCTTATTTTGTGTTCTCATCAGTGCCTTCGTATTAATAAAGTGCTAAAAATCTCAAGTTCACTTCCCTGCACGGTTAAAGTTCGATTATATCTGGCTGGCGCTGAAGTAATTAAGAGCGTTCGGACGTCACCGTTGCGCTTACAACGTTATGTGTCACTCTTGTGCATATGCCCTTATTTGAGCGAGCTGATGAAAAATGCTGTTGCTTGCTACTGGCAGAGGGCAGTGGAACACAGGCTAACGATCCGCGATCGTTAGCCTGTGCCCTAAAACTTGTCAAATTGTCATCCGCGTGCCCAAAAAAACTTATTAAATCTGCACTTGAATTTCGCACGGGATCATCCCCGCTCTAAGCTGGTTTGGCAAGGCATTGAACAGCCTCGGTCCTGCCACAGAAAGTGTTCCCTCCTGGAGAGTCTTTACTCTGGCCGCAGCTCGGTTGTTAACAGGGGCCATTCTGCACAGTCTCCGTCTCATAAATACTCTCCATTAAAGGCTAAAATATAGTGTAGCAGGAATTTTCATTGACTAGATTTTCCATTTCTATGTTCAATGTTCGTTGTCCAACAACCTAATAGTCCAGTCTAAGAAGTTCACTTCGTAGATTTCTGTGTCAGGTGATTAAAGCCACAGATTACAATTCCTGCTTTACTCTAAGGAGCCCTGCTCACCGGTCAGTTTAATTTTCATACCTCCCAAATTCAAATAATGTCTCACGTTACTGATTATTTACTCCATATTAAGTTTTGATTTTATACATGATACATTTTTAACTAGTATTTTTATTGCTTGGTTTCCAGAAATCCTTTGTAACGGATCATCCATTTAAATATACCGTCATGACTAAGCGGCCACGAATAGCAGAAGTTCTATGACTTGGATCGAAGAAAGTATGATGCCTTAATTAAAGTATGCTTTAACCAAGTGTTGGTTAATGGTACTCTGTGAGTACAGCGTGGTGGTACCCCGCGACCGTGCTTGGAGAATGGTATTCTATTACAAGAGGTTAGGGAACCACTGGTCTCAACCGCACTCATCACGTCAACCAGATTCCGTTTGGCGAACGGTTTACAACAGTTGAAGCAAAATAAATGGATGCTTTGGTTGACGTAAGCGTGGAAGAATTTCATGCGGTTTTTAAACAAAATTTCAACTGAGCGAGCGTGTCAGCCGATGTTCCGTCGGCAAAACTTGCACCATGTCACGTTTGACTTCGTGCTCCAAGAATTCACTTGCGTCACAGCTAACGATGTCATCGCTGCCGTACGTGCGCTACCTAACAAGCAGTGTGCCAGCGATCCGCTGCCGACGTCTTTACTTATGGGGAATGTCGTAACCGGGTAACCCTAATACCTTTTCTGGTCCAACTTTTAAACCACTGCCTCACCGACGGTGTTTTTCCAGAGAACTTCAAATCGGCTTACAAAAATTACGCCTCTATTGAAAACCGTATCGACCCATCTTCAACCTGCCGATTTTAACGAAACTCCTGGGACGCGTTGTGACTTGACGGCTGAATAATCATCTTCAGGACACCGGTCTCATGCCTTGCCTACATTCTGCATACCGATATCTTCACTCGACGGAAACCACTGTGAAGAAGGTGCTTTCAGATATTCTGCGAGCTGTAGACTGCAGCAAAATTGCGGCACTGACATTACTCGACCTGTCGGCCGCGTTTAAACCGGCCGCGTCGACCACGCCAATTTATTGCATCGACTTGACGTATCATGCATTTGGCCGGCGAGGCACAGTGCAGCGGCGGTTCGAGTCCTATCTCATAAATGGATTTTAATGCCTTCAACTCGGGAACTTATGATATGATATGTGAGGTCGATTAATATATTTTGATGTTTAAATTGAGTTGATGCAATTGTTTGCTTCATTTACCTAGAGAAGGAAAATAAGACAAGGAAGTTGTGATGGATGACGCGCGCCTCTTAGGTGTGTCGGATTCTCGTTTTTCGCCCTAATTTCCTCGTACGCTCACATAACTTGCGCATTGCGGAACAGGTATTTGCCATTGATGAAGATCATTTGAGAGTTCGAGGCTACAGCCATGAGGATTGCAAGGGGAATTTCAGCAGCTCTAAGTGCATTGATACTCGTGTCAGTGATTGTGGTGATTTACATCTCGTATGCCGCGCAACTTGATCACAAAAGAAACTTTTACTTCTCGGGCACAAAGCCTGCTTTGGAGAGGCGAAAGCTCTGGGGGAATAGCTCAAATTGCAAATCTATGTTCTCTTTATTGGATGGAGATGACAATTCAAGTCTCGATATTCCTCATGACATTAAGCGAATTATTGTTAGGTTGAAACATGATTTGAAGAATGACGACGTCTGGGACTGGGAACCTTATGAGAAAATCAGTCTGCATTTGTCTTCGGCGATAAGGAAAAAATTTAGAGCTTTTGAAAGTGCGCCGTTTAACGACACGCTCATGGGCATGGAGTGCGGAAAACTGTTGCATTTCTCCGAAATAGCTGATGTTGTGAACATATCGTACGAAGAAGTTTCTATGGCTAAATTGTGCATGCTATGGAAGCAAAAACACTTCACTTACCAACTGAATCAGGGAAAGAACATTTTGATGAAATATAATGGCAAGCTTCCGTACCTTAATTGTAGAATGAATTATAAATTTTCCCCTAAAGAAACACTGCGATGCTTCAGGAATGCAGTTCACAAAAAGAACGCGTCCGTTCTTATTGAGTTCATCGGCGACTCCAAAATAAACCAAGTGTTCGAAGCTTTCCTCGTTGAAACGAAAGAAATTGACTATGAAATTATAATCACTGGCAAGGAACGCACCGTAAGTAAAGTCCCTACGTTCAGGTGATTAAACATTTCCCTTAGCTACAATGTAAAGTGATCAATAGTTTCTCTGTTTCCAGCTGATCATATCTATTGTACTACAAATTCCTTGTATAGTTTATTTTTTTATTGCAGAGCCAAAAATACAGCCTGTGGGATTGGCTGGTCCAGGCATTGAGGCGCCGCAATCGCCAGCAGGTCGAAGCGACTGTGAGGTCAGCGCCAGGCTTCACAGTCAGGATGCAGTGAGTATTGCGGAGTAGGAACTATCCTGAGCTGGAGAGGTCCAAGAATTATCCTATATTATACATTCTGCATTTTTCATGAGGCCTACTTAAATGCCAAGGGTTCTCTTTATATGCTGCTTGAACGCCATGCGTTCTCTATGCATTCTCCTTATCGTCCTACATTCACCATGCATTCTGCTGTCAGCTTTCTTCTTAGCTCCACTTCATTCTGAGAATAAAATAAATTGTAGAGTAAATGAGTATTTTCAAATATTTTTATCCAATTTTGCGGAGGATTAATTTATATATATTATTAAGAATTCACGACTTGGTAATACTTATGCTACACTAATATATGTATTACCACAATGCGGAGCAGTTGAAAGAATTTGATAAAGATTTCAACATATCTATGCTGACTAAATGCTGATTTATGCTAGAGATTTTTTTAAATGAACGGAAATTTTGATAGAAGACTCTTCTTGGTTTTCTCTGTGAAATTTGATATTGAAAAAGTATTTTGGAATTTATTAGCCGCAATGTGACTATAATTGAATTTGAAAATTACACTTAATTAAAACCATTTCATTATGTTTGGGACTATGCTCTGCGATGCATCGCACTTCAAATAACAGAACCGTTTGAGGAGAGGAAGCTCTGCGTCATATGTGCATTTAAAAAAATCTTGACAGTATTTATCATGTTAATTACTTATACTTACCTTAATGTATTCAACAATCTAAAGCTTCGCGAGCTTCGACGAAATAAATGATGAAGAAATCCTCCAGTCTGACATCTACAAGAAACTTCTAAGCTGGGCCCTGGGCGAGGAGCCTCCGCCTGACCTCATCATAATAGGTGAGGAAATCTAATGATCATATCTGACTAAGTTGTAATTATATAATTATCATTATATAACTCGCTGAAATGCTGTTATAGTCATAATTATACCGTGCGAAGAATAACATTCAGGGTATAAAAATATTTAATATGCCTTTACGAGCATATCATGCATGAAATCCACGCCAACTATGAACTATACGCATTTTTTTCTTCAGGATATGGTACGTGGATGATGCTGGTGGAGTTCCATCGAAAAGAGTTTCGGCCACCCTTGACTCTCTTGCATAACCAATGGGACATCCACACCGCCGTTCTGCGCATGTTGTTGAACATGAAGGATACTACACGAGTCTTATTCCTCTCTCAAAATATGCAAAAGCCCCATGCCTACAAGGAAAAAGAGCCTGCTCCCGTTGAAGAACGATCTCGAATTCCATGGATCAATTTCTCGAATCTCGGATGGCTCAATCTTAGAGAAAAACTCACCACATTTTATGCGCCTTACGCTGGAAGAAATAAATCTGATTTCTGGGGAGCAGTTTTTGCAAGACGTGGCAATGCATTTTCATTTCTGCCGAAGTCCATTTCATTTCGAGATCGTTTCAGAATTCTTATGGAAGAACTGCCAAGTGTTAGTAAGGAGTCCCACAGTAGTCAACATAAATCTTTATCGGATCCTGAAGGACATGCGGGGATTTGGTTCTGGGATTCGACACAACCTGTGGCGTTTGCTTCGTTGCGCGATTGCGATACGCTTTACCATCACGATCCAATGTCGACATGCATAATCCCGTATACCTACAATATAGACCCAAAGACTACCCACATTTAAGCGTATGGTCTGCTCAGTAAGTTGAACTTTCCACCGGAAAAACTTTTCCGGCTCCGCAATCGTCTATCTGATGAGGTTCGTTCACCAACAGCCAACGTAACTAAGGGAATAAGACTAAACGCCGAAGTGTACATAAATACTTTTTTTCGTAAAATGAAAACACTTCCAAAAAATGTATTTGTTAAGCATTCAGAGTCTTCATTTGAGCCAGGAAATTTATATATAGATCAACTTGACGATTATTATGACAAGTTTGCAACAGCTTACGCCTCCCAAGACTTGTACTGCCGAGATGCGATGCATGCTGGCTACCTAGTCAAGCAAGTGGAAGCGTTGCAGATCCTCAATATGATTTGTAATCAATTCATGGACTTAGATAGTAGCTTTTGTTGTCATAATTAACAGAGACGCATAATCACTAACAATCCATCTGGGACCTGCTGTGGTATTTAAAGAACCTGATGTGGTTCGACGGATGGATGCTACGTTGTGACGTCCGAAGACTGACATCTACATAAATTCCTGCTTGTAATTATACCTGATTTACGTTTACGTACTTACGTCAAGTTTAGGAATCGGGCTCGTCCGATGCGTTTCCACCTAAAGGTGCTTATAGACGAGGCGAATAGTTGCGTCGATTAGTCGAGTCGATTAGTTTTGTAGGCTAGGAGCCTATACACAAGGAGTGTTTTTAGTACAGTGCGCCAGCGCCAGTGCGACGTTGGGAGTTGTCGAGTAAAGGCCTGTTCACACTTGAAGAAACGATATGGGCGGTGAGGCGCTTGGCGCAGCGCCTCACCGCCCACAACCGTTCACACTTATTTATTTTTGTACGCGGGAGCTCGAGACCGCGCGCTTCGAAGATTAGTTGCCGGTTAGACGTCCGTGAGGATGGATGTAACCGAATTTGAGCTCTTGGCCATTGTTCTCGGGTGTACTGCTGCTAAGAAAAGATGTAGGCAGTCGCCGTATTTGGGTGAAAAATTGGTTGCAAAGAAGAAAAGGAGCTCACACAATTACATTTTCAAAGAATCGTCAGTTGCGAATGCATCAGACTTTTAAAATTATAATAGACTGCCAGTGGAATTGTTTGACAGTCTGCTAACGAAAATAATGTCACTCACCCAAAAGCAGGATGAAAATTCATATGCAATGAAATTCACTTGCGATGAATTTCATTCCACGATGGAATTGCGAATGCAACGTATGAATTTTCTTGCGAACCTCGTCAATGGTGACTTGCACACGTAAGTTTCTTAAAGCCTCAGCTATTTTCACCAGAGTTTGTTCTTTTGCATATTAATTTTTATACTACTTTGATTGAACTATCCAAAGGCATTCATGGTCCCTACAAAGATCAATTAGCCTCTCTACTAGAGAGTGAGTCCAAACAAGTGTGGCGTTAGTTGCCATAGTGAAGGACCACCGTACACAAACAACCTCGCTAGACTACAGATAGCCGTCTACTGACAACTGAGTGCGGCGCGCGCTTGTGTTGCACGAGGCAGAGCGACTGTGAATCACTAGCTGGTCAATCGCTTTTGTGCCCACAAGAAGCACATGTAGACGCCTCACAGAGGGGTGGTGAGGCGCTTGACGCCCCCAAGTGTGACCAGGTCTTAAGGTGTGTGCACGGTAGAGGTAGGCGAGAGCTCGACAGCTATGCGCGCTACAGTGGACAAGAGAGCGCGATGGAGCTGTGCTCAGTATATGAAGGCCGAGCCGCTACTGGGCACACTACAGTGCTAGACCAGGCTGTCAAGAAACAACTTGAGTTGCTTTGGGTGCAATGCAACAGATAGTTGCCTTTGAAGACGTATATCTTCACAAATTTTAGTTGCGTCGACCAGTCAACGCAACTATTCGCCTCGTGTATAAGCACCTTTAACGATGTTGATCCTGCGAAGTGCCGGCAAAGCAGTGGTGCATGTTCAGATTTTGCAAGCCTGCCTCCCGCTGCACACGGTGATTTACTGAACTATTTGGCGTTTGATGTCGGCCAAAATCACTTCGCTAGAATTCATGGCATCCAAGACGATTGAAGCTTCCAAGCAATTTGTGGATGGATATGTGCCGGAGAAAAACACCCATAAACCGGCCAATTGCAGCAACACTGTCATTGGCCCGTATGCTAAATAGGGCACTAGCACTACGAAGTAGCACTACGCACTACAAGCCGTAGTGCCTACTCGTGCGACATATGGAACACTACGGTTGGCATGCTAAATAGGGCACTAGCATTATGAAGTAGCACTACGCACTACAAGCCATAGTGCGGCATGGAACACTACGGTTGGTATGCTAAATAGGGTCAAAAGCATAACGCGCACTACAAAAATCTAAAGTGTCCTACACACCGCACTTCACGACGACACTACGGTATATTTAACCTTGTTTACATCGTAAACCTCAGGAACAGCATGCCATGAATATAAAAAAGGGTTCGCTTCAGTGAACATGTTATTCTTATGGCTGACATTTTCCTTGGCGAAACAGATGAACAGCGTAGAAGTAGAAAATACTTTTCTTGTTATTGATACCATGTTTTCAATTTTCTTTTTTTTTCTGGAGTCATTTTGAATTCTTCTGCAAGAAACTTCCATGTTTCTCTCTTTTGTTCGATGTCTTTGGGAAGCGTGGACTTTGAATATATGATGGGAAAGGTGCGCAGACGCATTGCGAATTTCAGCTCACCATCACAATTTTCACTAGTACCATTACCATCACAATTAGACATTTTACATCAATCTTCTGCAAAGAATGACAATTACTTAGGGAATAAGTAATTATTTGAGCACTTAACTACCATTCTTCAATAGACTCATAGCGTAGAGCGGCACTAAAAAGTACTCCAACAGCGAAGAAGCATTTCAAAGTCTTTCTGCATACGAATCAGTAGTGCGACACTAAACATTGTAGAGCTACTTCGAAGTGCTTAGTGTCTGTGACGTATTTAGCATACCAACAGGACACTTAATTCGTAGTGCATAGTGCTACTTCGTAGTGCTAGTGCCCTATTTAGCATACGGGCCATTGTTGCAAAGGTGGGGATATTGGATCATGACAATGTAACCTGATCTGTAACTATTATACCCATGAAAAGATGGAAGCACAGTGGCTATAATAAATATGACTAAAGTAAAGAGGTACCACTAAAAAACGATAATGCATACCAGAGAGAAAATGTTTTGAGCAGACGAACACTCTCTGTTTAGTTTCAAATGTGATGGCTCCACGACGAATCGCCACCATTCATTCTCGACTTCTTGTCTCTTGTAGTAACGCCGAGAACTTCGCTGCCTCGGCTTTCCTTCCCGGCTGGTAAGCAGAAGAAACGCAATCCATTGTCCAGTTTCCAGTTAAAGTATTCGCGAGAACGTCTGGTTCATCCAACAATGGTGCAGTGGCGTCCCATCTTCAAGCAAAAACTTCAAAGAGACAAGCGCAGTCGATAGAAAACGTAGGCGAAAGCTTAACCATGCAACAAATATGGCGGCTATCCCACAATGCATTTCACAATTCGGTGCCGTTACGTCATCCTTTCGAAGCCGGTTCCCGGTCCAAAGCCACGCTAATGCGCTGCCATCGTCGTCCTCCGTTCCCCTGCATTCGTAAGGCAGGTTGTCCCACCATCTGGGAACAGAGGTAACGTTGTACGTAACTCTCGTGCATATGCCCTTATATGAGCGAGCTTGGGGGGGGGGGGGGGGATCATCCCCACTCTCAGCTGCTTTGGCAAGGCATTGAACAGCCTCGGTCCTGCCACGGAAAGTGTTCCCTTCTGAAGAGTCTTTACTGTGGCCGCAGCTCGGTTGTTAAATGGGGCATCCTGCACAGTCTCCGTAATATAGATAATCCCTTTTAAAGGCTAAAATGTAGTGTAACCGAAATTTGTATTGACTAGATTTCTAGATTTCCCATTTTCTTGTTCAATGTACGTTGTCCAACAACCTCATAGTCCAGTCTAAGAGGTTCACTACTTAGATTTCTGTGTCAGTTGATTAAAGCCATAGATTATAATGCCTGCTGCACTCTAAGGAGCCCAGCTCACCGGTCAGTTTGCCATATCACACGTTATTGATTATTTACTTCATATTAGATTTTTATTTTATACATAATACCTCATTTATTAGGCTTTTTATTGCGTGGTTCCAAAAAACCCTTTGTAAAGGATCATGCATTTAAATATACCGTCATGACTAAGCAGCCACGAATAGCCGAAGTTCTCTGACTAGGATCGAAGATACATAATTGTTTAAATTAAGTGTTGGTTGATTGTACTCAGTGAGTACTGCATGGTGGTAGCCCGCGACCGTACGTGGCCTCCGAATGGAATTCTATTACACGAGGTTCGGGAACCACTGGTCTCAACCGCACTCATCACGTCAACCAGATTCGGTTGGGCGAACTGTGTACAACAGTTGAAGCCAAATAAATGGATGCTTCGGTTGACGAAAGCGTGAGGAAATTCTTTGTGGTTTTTAAAAACCAAATTTCTGCTGTTCGAGCGTTGTAAGCCGATGTTCCGTTGGCAACATTTGCCCGTGCCCGTTCGACTGCGTGCTCCAAGAATACATTCGCGTCACAGCTGACGACGTAATCGCTGCAGTGCGCGCGCTGCCTAAAGGCCAGGGCTCATACTTTCAAAACCCGCTAAGTGAACGTAAGTACTTACGCAACTTACGATCTCTTAACTTTTTTTGAAAGTATAGGCCCAGTGCTGCAGCGGCTCGAGTCCTATCTCTGCAATAATTCCAATGCGTTCGACGCGGGAACTTTTCCTCTATGCCATCCTTGCATGGTCACTTGCAGAGTACCATAGGTATCAGTCCTCGGCCCGATTATGTTGCACATAATTGATTCATATAGTTTGAATCCGCATATGTTCGGGGACGACTCACAAATTTATTGTTATTATGCGCCGGATGACGCTGCAGCTTTGCAGGACCGGATGTCTGCAAGGACGCCGTTTCAGACTGGATGCTCTCCAACCTGCTCAATGTGTGGGGATCTTGGGTGTAAGGCTGAGTATAGTTATTGCATTATGAGAGTAGGCGTTGGCGCTAGGGCTTGTTTATGAGTTAAATTTTTGGTCCATGGCTGCGCTCCCGTATAATGGCGCTCTGCAACGAATAAATAGCGTCAGCCGCGATCTTCGAGCCTCGGCTGAACCATCCACAGCCTCGCCCTCTGGGGCGAGCCTGTGGATAGTTATTCAAGAGGTCGACCAATTTTTGTGAAAACGTCGTTAACATCTGCTGAACTGTTAATATTTAATGTGCACTCTGTTTATTGAGGATTCATCAAAAATTGCATGCAAACATTCTTAATACAATTTAATCTACGGTTTCCAAAATGGAAGATTTTAAAGATAAGCATTACAAAAGTCGATAACAATGCCAGATCATAGGAACCAAATCTAATCCTTTTAAGCATTTTTGAACGGATCAGTGTTATAAAAAAGGAAATGACCGTTCAAACCTCGATTTCGTATGGAGGGCCAAGTTCAGTCATGTTCTGAAATCTGAAGGAAA